TTCTAGCCGCAAAAAAACTTTCTTAATACTTAATTAGGAGTCAAAGACAAAATCTGACAACTTTTTCAATAAAAATTTTTTATGTACTACTTTTTTGGGCAGAATTTATTTACAAGCACTTTCTCGCTAGGTTCCCGAAGTTAGTAGCATTGATGATGACTGAGTCGTATGACGGGAATGTAAAACACATATTATAAATTCTAGATGATAGAAGTGACCCGTTGCATTTGCAACGAAAATTAAGATTTTGAGATTCTAGCCGCAAAAAAACTTTCTTAATACTTAATTAGGAGTCAAAGACAAAATCTGACAACTTTTTCAATAAAAATTTTTTATGTACTACTTTTTTGGGCAGAATTTATTTACAAGCACTTTCTCGCTAGGTTCCCGAAGTTAGTAGCATTGATGATGACTGAGTCGTATGACGGGAATGTAAAACACATATTATAAATTCTAGATGATAGAAGTGACCCGTTGCACAATATTTTCAATTTCTGATTTATTCTCGGATTCAATTTGAATAAAAAATCTTTTGGTATTCTTTCATCTTGATAAAGCAGCGTATAATTTTCCGTGAGAGAATAAAGGTTTTTTTTATGTACAATTTTAAGGAATTAAAACTCTATCCTTGTGATTTGTTGATAGTCATAGAAAATGCTAATACAAAGGAAAACTGTTTTCTATACAAGAGAATAGGTAACGATGATGAGGTGCCAGTATTCAATGTTATTCTAGGAATATAAACTTTGCTTCTTTTTTTTTCTCCCCTTATTATTTCTGCTTCTATATTATACTTAAACAATTTTGTTATATTTAATCTTGTGCCATTACAAAGACCGTCTGATATACTTAAATTTTTTATTAACATTACTATAGCATTTATTTCTAATTTTAATTCGTGTGGTGGAAGACCTTCTCTGATATTATTTAAAAATTCTATTGGAAAATTAATATTTATATTATCATCTGTTTTATCAACTCCTTTGTGAGTCGCGTATTCTGCTGTTGTGAACTTCGGGTACACAAGTTGTAGTTTGTGCCCGAGGTAAGAAATATATTATTTCCTACTTTTGGCGTTTTTTTCAACATTTGGACATTTAGTGTCCCCTCAGTAGGAAAAATAGGGTTTGCATCTGGTGCACATCCAACCAGAGCAAGCTCAAGGAGTCCCTCATGCCTTGTTTCGCAGGTCTCTTGGGCTTGATGCTTGCCCTAGTGACATGCGCCACCAGGTATGAAAACTACAAATCTCTTAATCGCCACATATTGACTATAAAAGAAGCAGAGTTTATAACTATAGAGCATAAAAAAAATTAATCAGATGATACGTACTAAACGTGTAAAAGAAAGAGTACTAGAGCACAATCTGCACCAACTATTCAGAGTTGTGTGGCAATCCCACCATCCCGCCTGGTGCAGTCAGAGAATTTTTGGCTACAAATGTAAGCCAGGGAAAACAGCTCCGAGGGGCACGGGCAGCCACAACAACTACCTTGTTAGTCATAGCGTTCCCAACGCGCTTACCCACGTGTTCCCGTCTAACGATGAGCGGTTGGTTATCCGGGAAACGACCCGAAGATGAGATATTCTTTGGTCAGCGGCGTACCTCCCTTTATCACAGTCTCCGTACATCGAGACTCCTTGGGTAAGAATCAAGCTACCCATAGCCAGCTCTTCATTATCAGGAATAATAATAAAGAATAGCCTGGAAGTTTCACCACTGGCGCTTTTTAGGGCCATTATAAGTATTTACGTTCCCTACTCAACCATCAATTTCATCGGTTCTTTTTAGGGGCCACCTAAGTGTCAACTAGCTTGCCAACAAATACATTTTTACTACCATTTTCAGAAGCGATTCGTCGACTAAAAGACTACATTAACTATTCTAAACTAAATTAAAACTTAAGAAAACATTTTTTACAGTTATTTATAAATTAATTTACAACAAGCCGTCTTCAAAAAAATAAAATATTATGAAAAAGTTTAAACTGAATTTAAATTGAATAACATTTTATGAGTCGGCTCAGTATAAGATTTCGATAACTTGAGGAATTAAATTCTTGAAAATACGTCTGGAAAACAATGTTTGAAAAATTTACAAGCAGATTTTATGTTCTTAAAAAAAGTATAATTTTATTCAGTATTACTTACATTTTTTTTTTGACAAAGCCTCCTTGAATGATATCGAACTGTCAAGCTATACAAATATGGTAGATAGGGTTTAAGCAAAATTTTTGAATAACTTAAAGTTTACCTATTTTGGATGTATCAAAGTATAATGTACACAAAAAATTTTTTAAAGTTATTATATAATTATTGTCACGAAACAAATAATAATTAAACTAGTGCAATGACAGTCAGTAAACAATGCGAAGTTAAACTTTATTTTAAGTAACTAGCTAAGTTTATTATAGCCTTTTAAGAGCCGACAGCATAATCAACAGGAAAAAATGTTATAAACTTATATTTATACTGTAAATATGAGTTTTCAAAATAATAATATTAAAATATTACTTAAAAAAAAGTAGTCATGTGTAACTACAAAAAACTTATTCAGTATAAAAATAACAGAGGTAAATATAAATAAAAGGCTTTGTTGTGGTTTATAAGAAGAGTGGGTTATGTTATTTTTCTAATTCTATGTACATTCATTTTTTTTTTAAATTATTTTTTTATTTATATGTCTGTTATGCATAGTTTCTGTTAATAAGCATACATAATGAACTAAAAACAAATTATATACTCACGTAAGAACTAACTAATTTTCGTTCTTAGTGTCTTAAACTACTGTAAGACATACGAAAATTTTCGTTCACATGTTAGAAAAAGTTATACGTGTAATTTACATATGACAATTTCCACACTTTTATTCAAGATCAATGCGAGATAATCGTTATGTTTTTGACATAAACTACGCAACGTCCATGTGTCAGCAATTGGCACTTATTAAAACATCAGAATACTTGAGCCAGGAAATTATTACTAAAATTAAAAATTGTTTTATCACACTTGATACATAAAAAAATAGTATATGGTAAGAATTGCACTTCATTATCGACGTAAATGATTAGCAACAAATTATTAAAAATTATTGACCTAACTCTGACTTTGGTACAAGGTTCTAATTAGGTTTTAGTTTAATTTGTATGTACGAATAAAGTTATTAAAGCACCAAGTTTTTTCTTTTGTTGATATTATTGATAAACTATAAAAAAATTTCAGCTTTGAATGACATGTTATTATTTTAAACATTTATCTTATTTCTACTTAGTTATGTTATAATACTTATCGTGGAATTATCGCATTATCAAGGTGGCTAATTATTGTGAGTCATCTTAGACAGCCCGTTAAGTAATTGAATCAATATTTCTTGTGATGTTAATTTTATACATGTTTATAATAAAGGTTTAAAAACATTTGCATTCTGAACTAAGTATAATTTTAATTTAAATATAAATTAAAATAGTCTTGTCATCCGTAGGATAAGAAATTAGAAACATGTATGTAACGCTCAAAAAAGTAGCTTTATTTAAAATCTCTTCTCTAATCCTCATCGAGCAGAAATTTCATGTAGTAGAAAAGAATTTATAACTTGTGGCTCATTATCTAATGTGAAAAAATGTGAAATGGCTATGAGTTGTGTAAAATTATATTACTATATGTACAATCGAGTGGGATCGAAGAATGCTCTTCATACTATAACGAAAAAAATATTAGGATCTGTAAAAGTTATAAAAATAGAAGATACATGCAAATAGTTTTCATATAACTGTACTTATTCTAAGCCATGACTTTCTTATATTGGACAAAAAAATTTTCTATGTAAATATATTTTCTATTACCCAGAATATTATGGGATGACAAATAATGGCAGGGGTTAACGTACAAAGCGCTCAGAGGACGCAGCCCCACCCCACTATTATCAAGATAACTCTACATAGAAAATTTATACATTTACATAGAATAGGACTTACGTATATAAATAAAAATTGCAACTGTATAAATGTTGACATTGTTAAAATTATGGTGACTGTCAGTTTAAGTCTTCATGTTATTAATATTTATCCTTACAGCACGTAGTGTCTACATAAGTCCCATTTTATGTAGATAATATATTACAATTAACGGAAAAACTCGTTTAATTTTCACCTGTTTCTAAGAACCATTATTTGTTTTCTATCCTCCCATACCACTTCGCATCCGTGTGCTGTATGAAAAAATTTTCCTAAAGCCAAACGCTCACTACAAGACCCCACAACCACTCCACACTGCCTATGGACCTACATATTTACTTAGCATCTTTTATTTTTAACAAAGCTCCCTCCCCACGCATCTTTCTCACAACCCCTCCATGAACTTAGTATTTTTCATTCTTTACAAAGTCCCCCCACATGCAGCTACCGCACTCCTTTCACGGATTTAGCATTTTTCGATTTGATTATGGTATCCGTGTTTGACGTTATAAAGTTTCTCTTTTAACTTTAAAAGACCCTTACATGGACTACTTTACTCTTAATCTATTTTAATATATTATTGTTTATAACATTTTTTCAATACTTTGTAGGATTTCATCAACTTCTTAAAAAACGTTTTTCCAAACAATGTTTTCAATAGTATTATAGTCGTTTGATTCCAATTGAAAAAATTATTAGGATCTTTGTATCATAACATTGCTATATATGATTGACCATGGGATAAAATACGTTTATTTAAATAAAGACCAATATGATCGAAACTTTAACTTTGATATTTTCTGGCATCAAAAACGCTATGACTATAGGAAAATATTTTTAAAACAAACGGTCAATTTCTGATTATAATATTATACTAGGTATAAAAACTCTACGCTCAACTTTTTCACTTATTATAATTTATCCTTTAATATTGAATTTATGTAATTGTGATATTTTTAGTCCACTGCGACCACTTTGGGACCCCTACACACTCAATAATGAAGGCCTAGTGTGATCTGTTTAGCTGAGAACGTTTTGTAGGCAAAATTAGGGCTGCTCCAGCGGTTTGTAAGTACTGTCCATACGTTGAAAAACGTGAGAGTAGGTTTTTAGGTCCTTGAAGGTGAAAGGCTGACTGTTGGAATGTCTTGAAGCAGGCATCAGCTTGAGAGATAAGAAAAGTTTTTTAATACTGTGCTTGAAACTGATGTGGACGTCGTGGACGTCCAAACACAACCTAAGTAGGCAAGGTTTTGCGGGTGATAAGACGTAATGTGGTAAAACGTGGCTCCCAGAGTGCGCACCAGATCGACAAACAAGGTCAATTCGAATTATTGAGCGCCTCTGTCTGAGGTGATCAGCAGTTTAGTGCCAAAGTCGCTGACTCAGTGGTCATTAAGCACTTTGGATATCACTATTTGCATTTTTGGCAATGGGACTGCGGTAGGCCAGCGAGAAAACCTGTTAATGACTGTCAAGTAGTACTACATCCCTTGGACTGGTTGCAGCTTAATAAGGTCGATTTAAGTGTGCTTAAAGCGATTATCCGGCTCATTGGAACATCCCAAAGCTTCTTTGTTGTGATGCAAGATCTTAGAGTGCTGATGTGAAGTAACTTACTCACAAGATCATGTACAGTATGGAAGGCTTGGCGACAAAGCGAGTCTGTCAGGTAGGATCATACCTCTTCCATTGCTATATCACAGTATATTGCATGTCCATCCTGTTTAGCCTCTTAAAGTAAAGGATATTATGAATTATTCAGAGGCTTCTATGACAGCTCGTTGAAACCCTCAGCTTGTGCGACGACAGGTATGTTCATGATAGAGGGTATTGCAATAATAGCCGTACCAACCTCTGGGTCAAAAACCATCAGAACTTTTCTTGCGATTGCAGTATGTGTGTCAATTGTCTGCCTGCTGGAGGTTCTTGACTCGGCGTTGACGTCAATAGGCCAAGGGATTGTCTTAATGGTGAGCGTCCTGAAACCAGAGCATCTGCAACCAGATTTTTACATCTGCAGGTACGTCAAAAATTCACATTTAAACGTAGAATGTATTCCAGGTTGCAGGCTTGATGTGATGAAGCTCAGTCTGATCGTCGCTATGTCACATGGATCAGCGGGCGATGATCATTAAAGATGCAGAAGATGGTCCATCCTACGAGAATGCACTCAAAGTGTTTGATGATTCCATACACAGCCCAAAAAGTGCATTGCTTGAGTCCTGCTACGCATCATCGAGAGTGTTGCGTTGCAAAACATGAAGGCGGACGGGCTCGCGTCAAGGTATGGATGCGCATATGCGTGATTGAGTGTGCACGCTGAAGTGAAGGCTAGGTGGCTGGCCTACGAACGGGTGCCAAGTCAGTGGTAAGGTGGCTGAGATGAGAGGTGGTACAGGACAAGGGCAGAAAAGGATGGATAAGAAAAGGCTGATGCTTCAGTAAAAGGTAAATCATCAACAGGAGAGCAAAATTTGGATGTCAAGCTTGATTGGTTAGAATTCGTTACGACTCCGAACGATCTCTTGTTATCACTCGCTAAATCGAGTCTTTCGTTCAGACATTGCCTCACGTGCGCTCGTGGTGTGTCAACTGTTTAAAGACCGCCCTACAAAATTGAACGACATTTCTCCTTTCAAGAAGCGCAATGACGAGCCATCACCTCCGAGAGGTGCATGATCATTACACACTTTCAAGAAGCGTGGCCTGTACACACGTTTTACGCATCTGGTGACGCGCTTCCAAGAAGCCACCACGCTACTAATTACAAAGGCCACCGAGTGGCATACACTTCTGGGTTGTTGACCGGTCACTCTCGACAGGGTGATCGTGTGGTCAAGTGTGACGAGGTATTCAGTGGTGTGCATGTTAATACTCATAAACTCTCGTCATGCGCGGTGTTCATTTATCCTTATTATTACAGACCCAATCCTCGAGTCCGATGCTATAAATTAAGAAATCACTTTAACTTTAGTGTTTAATACCTCGGCGTCTTGTCTAAGTCAAGTAGATAGAGTTGTTAGATAAAGTTCGTACCCAATTAAGCTTGGTATTATTATCAGTTATTGTTCATTATTACTGTGATAGCGCTCTAATTTACGTTATTGAAACGCGACTATATGTTTAGGTCTAACGTCATTGGTGATTCTTGTGATAGAGTAACACAAAGACTGTGTCTCTTGTTATGATGTAAAATTTAAGGTTTGTTGTTTTAACAATAAATAAATCAATTTCTAACTCATGTTTATTAACCTTTATTTAACCATGCAGGCTTCAGGTGGACGTCTGCAACCATGAATCAGAGAGTCTCAAGTAGCATGACTGCTCTCCACAGGAGTTGCCTGCAAAAGACTAAGATGGTGTTTCTTGCTGGGCTTCTCACACGCACCACAACTGAGGCGTAATCCGGTCCCGTTGTGAGAGTGATACAGGATATGATGAGCACTACATTTGTAATCATCTTTGCCGATGTAATAAGAGCTCTCTTAGAACAAGCTTCTGCTTGCGTCTGCTAGATGTCAACGGGTGTCCCAAGAGAGCCACCATATTCACGATACATATTACGTATACAGTGTTATCTATAATAAGACGCAAAGATAGGTAGACGTACGTGTTTACACTGAAATAAAGGCCAAGATTACAAAAACATACCTTTACTTACATAGCAATATCTTGAATTTATTGAATTCGTTTTACAATGTCATCGCTTAATTTAAAACAATATCCGATATGTTGGACATGGCATCATCGTAAGATAACAAAATTTACCCTTGACTTTTAAGGCATAAGCGAAAGGAGATTATAGAAATTCGATTTTTTCTTGAATAAGATCTCCCTTAATCCCCGCAGCCACCTTGAGCTTCTCACCTAGCAAACAAACTTTTTCGAAAAATAGTGAACAATGAAAAGCTGAAAGCTTATTATTTTTCAAGTTCAACAAGTATCTAAATATAAAGAGAATATGTCAAATTTTTGTTTCCATAAAGTTTTAACAAATAATATTTTTTGTTATATATACTAATTTTACCTACACAGATCTACTACGGATGTAAACTTTCTGGTTTACCTACGCTAATGTATCAGTGAGATAGCCTATAATAATGATATTAATAGTTAATGGCTAAAAACAGTTATTAAATATCTTTGTGGGTCTCATCATCAACTCGTACTATATATCTTATTTTTCTTTGCTCAAAAAGTATAAAAGCTCTGTCACATCTTGCATAAATGTGCGGTTATACGAAGCACGTAATGCGTATGGCATCACCTGTAAAAGTTACAAAGAAATCAGAATTTGATATTAGGTAAATGTTCCAATTGTGAGACAGGGTTAAGCAAACTTATAAGTGAAATAAGCTATTCGAAGCTGAAAAATACATATAACCAGAAAATTTTTCGTATTATAATGTAAAATTATGTGTTCTAGCACAAAAAAATTTATTTTAGTGTATAAATAAGATCGCAATAATAATTTAATTTGAAATAATGGAGAAAAATATGAGGTCCCAATTAATGGCACATCAAAAAACAGCATGGCCCAGTTGTCCCACTCAGTCAGTCCCGGTTTATGGGACATACAAAAACTGTTAGATTNTACAAAAGTTAAGCGAACAGAAAAAGTAAACTAAAACGTAAAGAGAAATGCGAAGGCAGAGAATGCGTGTATGAACAGACTGGCTGACTGCGCGAGAGTGAACAAAAACCGAAGCTACTTGATGCTGAAGTGCAGCGTCACAGCGTCTCGTCCTCCCGCTGCTGCGCATGCGCAATAATTGAGTAACGAGCGCCAACAATACATCTAACACATTTTAATTTAAATAAATAAATAGTATTATGCAAGACAGTACACTTCAAATTTTGATAAACAACAAAATATTAAGAGAACAAAATCTATTAATCGTATTATATCTACTTTTCTTGTTTAATTTGTTTTTGAATATCTTTAATTTGTTCTTGTAACTTTTTCTTAGCCTCTTCTATTTTCTTTTTTTACTATTGTCTTTTTTTTAAATTTTTTCTCTTCCTTTTTTGTTGCTCTTCCTCTTTATTCAATTGCTGCTTATTTACACCTTTAGAGGCTATTTTTTTGTCAGTCTTTTTTCCCTTTTTTTCTTTCATTTTTTAGCTAAAATCAGTAAATATTGTTAATTAAGTAGGTGATTACAAAATAAAGAGTTCTAGGACTGCTCACTTTTGAGGTTATGTGTACGATTTATTACTGTATGTCAATAATTAACTTCCTATGAAGCTGGATATCAATTACAATAACTTCACAGTTGATTAAAACACACTGTATTCACTTTTACAAAACAGAATACAAGATTCGCAAGTAAAAACAACAACTTTGCTGTGTCTCATTTATCGGTCCAAAGGCATAAATATGAAGTGTAAGTAAATACGGTACATGAATTATGCTGTACCATTAACTGGGACCTTCAAATTTTAGATGTACGCATATTGAGACATGGTTATAAATAAAAAATCTGCGTTAAAAATACTGATCTTTGTTTTTAAATATATTTAAGAATACCTAAGTTAATGAAAAAAAAAAAAACATATGTTGACAAAGAATTCAATTTAATTAAGAAAAAACTCAGTTAAGTGAAAGTCACAATAGGCGCAGATTCGTATGTCCCATGGTACTGCAATGGCAGAGTTGCAATAAACATTTTTTTTGTAATATTCTTTACGTACTATGGCCTTGAAAAAAATAAATATGATAAATGTTTCCACGTATAAGTTAACAAAATTTATTAACATTTCTATATATTCTCTATTATTTAAATATTAATTAATTTCAAAACGTCCCATTAATTGGGACGTTGTCTTGCAATCGGGACATTTACCTTATGCTAACCTCTCTTTTAGCAATAATTTTATGTAGTATGTTGCCTGCATTGTTGATAAATACATGAATTTTACAGTAACGTAAGTGCACTATTCACACTAATTAGGAAATAAATTAAATCTGAAGACCATCAAAAATTGAACCAAGATTTATTATAATTGGTGAAGGGGTTAGCACGCAAAGCGCGCAACAGGCGAAGCCCTAATTGCATATATGTACGTATAAAAGTAGAATATTTTGGATATTTTAATTAAACCTTGCTGCAACAGTATGGATATAAGTTACCTGATTCTGTATAAGATATCATGTCCTATTGTTAAAAAAATATTTTTTCCATTGCTTTGTCACAAGTTTATATTAAAGTTATGGACTGAAGTTTATAACTTTTATAAACTGTCTTCACTAATAATAATGCAATAAACGATGGTTTGACCGGAAAATTCAATACATTTAAAAAAAAATAATAATATTGAGTTCTTCGAATTCTAACATGTTCTCCAGTAAAAAGGCCGTAAAGTTACAAAAATAGTTTAACGATTACTCAGTACATTAGCAGGAAATATTTTTAAAGGTTATATTTAATATTTAATCAGAAAAGAATTTTTTTAAGCATTTACCTTTCCTCCAAAATTAATTATTTTTTTTGTTAATGATCCAATTTTTCTTTCTTGATCTGTTAATAATTCAAGTAAATCTTCTTGGTCCTTTTTCAAGTAAGTGAGCTCCTTATTTTTTTCTTGTAACGTATTTTGTAAAATAAAAATTTTGTTTTCTAAAGATGTTTCTTGTTGTTCTAAAAAGTCAAATGATGTTTGAGTCGACTTCTGCAGATAATCTAAAATACAATTTCTCTTGTAATTTCTAGTATGATAAATTAATCGTAACAAAATAGGAAGGTTGTTTATTTACCAGCTGAATGATTAGTATGAGCAGCTCGAAGTACTTTATTTTGATCAGTTAAAGAGTTCACATCATGTTTTAATTTATGTACTTCTTGCTGTAATTAATAAACTTTATCATTTACATTTATAACTCAGCTTTAACCAAGCAATAAAATGAATTTTAAAGTATTGAAAAAAATCCATTAGCACCTGAAAATAGTCATTTTTGATCTGCAGACTGTCAACCAATAGATTTAGTTGTTGAATTCGAGAATCTTGTTCTCTAATCACACTTTTAAATTTTGTAATGTCTGAGGATTCTTGCGATGCAGAAAGACTAAATTTCTCTCCACTACTGATAGATTTATTACAGTCTAACACGGATTTTAATACGGTACCTGTAACATTAATTATAAAAATTCCTTCATTAAGAAAATATTGTCTTACTAATGAGAATTTCATACAATGGGAAATATCATTACAAATATTAACGTTAAAAATATAAAGGGACTTGATCTCATTATACCTTGTCTATCATACCTAATCTATAAAAGGGGTATGGCTAGAGAAAACAAGGAAAAGAGAGGGAAGTTAGATTAGATTTTTTATTTATCATTAGTTAGGGACTCCAGGTCCAAGTTAGCCAAAAGCGTAGTGTGTACAAAACTAAAGCATAGAGTTATTACACTCTACTTCATAATGAACGTGCAAATGAGTAAAATCGAAAAATTCTGTGAGCGATTTTGAGTCGATGTCTCAGAATTTCCTCAAAATTGAACCACATACTTCATATTATCTGCTTAGTTAACTCACCAATTTTTAGCCAAAATTATCAAGTACAGCCATAGTGATAGACTGTTCCGAAAATTATGCGTTTTTTTCAAAATTTTTTATCATAGCTCTAATAATACTAAAAAAATTTCTGTTAACCGTAACCTGACGTAAAATCTCCTGTTCTTTCTAATGGTGATGTCTATTTTGTCTCATCTGCACAAATACTGTAAAAAAAAAATTCATATTATTGAAAAACATAAATTTTTCAGTGTTATCCCATTAAGTAAGCTAAAATCTGAGTTCATCATCGGGAAGAGCGGGAAACTTAACGTAAAAAATAGTTATGAAAAATGGGGATTTGCATTGGGATTCAGGTGAAAAAATTAAATTTCAAACGTTGAAAAACGTGGTATTTAAGTTTTTTATCAAAACCAATTTTTTACCGAACAACAACTATTCAGCATTAATAATTTACATCCATCTGAAGCATTTTTTTTAAATACATTCTCTAAAAGAATTGTACACTTTATAATCTATTATAAGACTTAAAACTAAAACTTTTACATTTTCTAAATTAAAAGAAATTTTTTTAACATTAAAAAAAAACGCGTTCTTTCAGTAGTGCTCTTTACTGATTGCAGGTGGCTCTCTTCTTGGTTACTCGTTCTGCAGACTTATAGCATACGTCACTGTGTAGGTACTGTGACATGTGATTTGAATGTTTACTTCTACCTGAATCCTTATTTCCACATTGAAAAAAGCGCTATTTCATTAAAAAGTAAGTGTTATCTCAAAAAATTACTCTGACGTTATGCCTTCTCGTAAAAGGTGTCTTAATCCATTTCGAAAATCAGCTCGTAAGTATATTTACTAGTTAACCTATATTGGAGTTATTACATGTAATTGTTAAAACAAAGAACCTAATGTATGTTAGACGATCCAAGAGAGGCTAATTTGAGAAAAGTAACTGATGATGAGAGAATTCAGCTTCCTGAAGCGTTAGGTAATATTTTTATATGCTCAGCTTGTCAATAAGAATCTGAAGTTCAATCTATCAAGAGCGAATTTTTAGATGGTCAATAGTTTGATTTCTTAAACTAGCTCTTGATGCATTGCACTTGATTGTTACTCCTAACCCATCGCATGGCTTTTTTCCGTGAGAAGTAGCAAAAAAGTGCCACTCTGCATGTATACCAAAATTTTCATGATGCAATGGTGGATTATTGAAAGCATTCTTATTTTTGAACTGTTGAGGAGCACTTTCAGAAAAATAAAAAATCTCATCCTTGTGAATGTTCTCTTTAAATAACGGATTGTTTTTGCTGACAGCAACTGTATTATGTGTGAGACAATCTGACAGAAAAACCATGCTAATATTTTTTAGCTCGCCATTTTGTTTGTAGTAAATAATTACTAGAAATATTGTGCACTGATTGTTGTTCCAGTAAAAAGCTTGAGCTGCTTCTTGACAAATAAACGCAAAACTCTCGGAAAAATCAAGCACAATAAGAAACTCTTTTTCTTTCAAGTTATTTTTCAGTTCAATATACAATTTACTTTGTGATTTCGAAACAAAGTCACAAGGCACCAATTTTTCCAAGCGTTCAATTAAGTTCTCTATAAAGTCTTTAATATTGCATATTACTTCCAGTAGTGTACATCGTTCGTCAATACACCAAAATTCATATGAAATTTCAGTCATTGATGATCTATCAAAAACTTGCTGTACTTGTTGTCTCAAACCGTCGATTGGTGGGCAGTTTTTATATTTTCGAGAAAAACACTCTTCTGTTGGATCAATGCACACCAGTTTCAAGAGCCACTGTTTGTATAACGATTTCTTATCACCTGCATTGTTAATCGATTCGTTATTTTCGAGCAAAGGGAATAATTCACTTCCTAAAAATAATAAACAATAAAAAATGAATAAAACCGTAAATTTTCTTTTTTTAATTGGAGCACAAATTGTTAATTAATTACTTTTTAAATAATATAAGAAATTTTGAATGGTATTTTATTTTGATATTTTATTCTTAAAGTAATTTTCCATTCTTAAAACAAATTTATGAAAAGTTCTTACCGTCCAACATTAATTTAATATTTTCATGATACGTGCAAATATACACTGCATATGTGCCACAACTTCTAGCTAATACACAAAGTTGAGGTCTTAAAAGTGTGAATGATGTTAAACCAATTTTGTGATCGGGATATTTTGCTTTAAATTTTTCAAATAGTTTCTTCAAGTTCAACAATATTAACTTCTTTGGCACTAAATGCCTTTCTCTAGTTAAATCCTTAACAGATTTGACGTCTTTTTTTCCAGGTAATTGACGAGAGTTGTCTTTTCGTTCATAAAAATTAACAACATGATTTTTCATTTCAGTAGATTCTTCTAATTTTTCTGTTTTTTCATAAAAAGTATCAACATTAACGTTTTCTTTTAGCATGGCTTTCGTATTTCGAATGAAACTTTGTCCAACTTATAAAATTTCTCTAATCTTTAGTTCACCCTATTTTTTTGACAGAATACTTAATAGCAAATTAATTCTTTTTCTTAAAAGTAACAATAAAATAAAAAATTTAAGTTTTTCAAATTACGAGTTTTTAACACATCAATTATTTACATTATTTATTAAATATTTACTTTTCAGTTTCTGATTTGATGAGGTCTTTTATATTTTTAATGATTTCATCAAAATTCTCTGCTTTTTCATCATTTTCTGATTTAGGGTCAACATCAAAATGTTTAAAAAATTTTTTTCACACTTCTCTAATGCCTTCTTCATACTTTCTTTTGACGTAAAAATTTTGATCACATCTGCAAGATTTTCATAATTATTTGTAAATAAAGTACATTGTGTAACTTGATGACAAGAGGGCGAGTAATATACGAGTGCGTTCTATTTTTACTTGAAATATTTGTCACTTTACAACCTTTAAATAAGTGCACAATTAAGTACTTATATTACGACCTCGAGAGATGACAATTTTATTTGTTATAATCACAGAGCTTACTGATATTTTTGTACTGGAGACCTATTCAAGACATTTTCCATTGATTGCGTGAAGCATTCATAGGAAGATTGACTTTCGAGACTTTGACTTTCAGTTGATGTTTTTTGTGATTGACTGTTTAAGAATTCGCTCTTGATAGATTGAACTTCAGATTCTTTTTGACAAGCTAAGCATATAAAAATATTACCTAACGCTTCAGGAAGCTGAATTCTCTCATCCAGTTACTTTTCTCAAATTAGCCTCACTTGGATCGTCTAACATACATTAAGTTCTTTGTTTTAACAATTACATGTAATAACTCCAATATAGGTTAACTAGAGATAAATATACTTACTAGCTGATTTTCGAAATGGATTAAGACACCTTTTACGAGAAGGCATAACGTCAGAGTAATTTTTTGAGATAACACTTACTTTTTAATGAAATAGCGCTTTTTTCAATGTGGAAATAAGGATTCAGGTAGAAGTAAACATTCGAATCACATGTCACAGTACCTACACAGTGACGTATGCTATAAGTCTGCAGAACGAGTAACCAAGAAGAGAGCCACCTGCAATCAGTAACCAAGAAGCAAGAGAGCCACCTGCAATCAGTAAAGAGTACTACTGAAAGAACGCGGTTTGTTTTTTAAATGTTAAGAAAATTTTATTTTTAAGTCTTATAATGGATTATAAAGTGTACAATTCTGGTCACTTGCAAGTGACACGTATCGGAGGCGAACTTGTCGTGCGAAAGAGCGAGATAACGAACACACTAATAAACGGGTTAGAGGGAGCCCACTACTATAAAGTCATTTTCATTATCTACAAACTCAATAGTGAGTGTGGCCCTCCCTCTTCTCCTTCTACTTTCTGGTGCTCGGGCACACTCGAGACGCCGAGCGCTTTTCACCTCCGAGCGGAGAGTCGAAGCGAGCGGACACTGTACCTGCGCTGAGCACAACGGCTTTCACCTCGAAGTTAACGGTTTGCTTTTCTTTGTCTCTACCACCAACGAGACGCCGTCTTAGGCTTCTTCCGTCAAACTACATTGTTACGGTTAAGCTGCGAAGGGGGCTATTTCTCAACACCTTTCGTCAACACTTCTCGCTCTTTCGCACGACGCCTCATTTGGTAAGCCGTCTTTATAATTTTCTTCACGAATCAAATTCAATTTAATCATCGCGAGTTATACATTGTCATCGCTCCACGCATTTCTTCGCAAGTGATAACCTTGAACTACTCTTGTAAATATTTAGTTTTGGTTGACTTTTGAAATAAATCTTTATTGTTCAATACAAATTCAAGTGTTGCATTGTTGTTTATTTAACCAAGGTCAACGGACTCTGGAAACTAGCCCTGTGAAAATTTATAATTTACGGCTCAATATAATTGCTGCCCGAGTAACTCCATTTACGCTCGGTAACGAGATCAACGTGAACTGGTGACCTCGTCGCAGCTTTTACAATTTTACAGCTTCCACTGCGCACAAAGGCTACCATGCCCTAGCATCAACAAGGCATCGAGGCATCAAATTCTTTAAGAGAATGTATTTTGAAAAAAAGGCTTTAGATGGATGTAAATTATTAGTGCTGAATAGTTGTTGTTCGGTAAAAAATTGGTTTCGA